TGACTCTAGGCCATGTAGCAGTAGGTTCACTATTGCTTAGCAGGGAGTCAGGATGGTCATTTGTTTTCACAGCGTCCTCATTTCCAACATGGCGCAGATCTCAGGAGCTGCTATTGGTTCTCACCCTGGAAGGGCTGCAGTGTGCCACATTGCCTCCACTTACCAGGGAGGGGAGGTGCTTGCTTGGCTTCCCGGAGTCCTAAGTTCCAACATGGCGTGGATCTCAGGAGACACTGTTGGTTCTCCCCCTGGAAGGGCTGTAGTCTTCAATTTCATTTTTAAGTGGATTATAATTTTCCCTGTATAGGTCTTTCACTTCTTTCATGAGAATAATTCCTAAATATTTCATTTATTTGGTTGCTAGTGTGAAGGGTGTGACTTCTCTTATTTCCCTCTCTGTGATTTTGTTGGTAGTGTGTAGGAATGCTATAGATTTTTGAGTATTGATTTTGTATCCAGCCACATTGCTGAATTTATTTATTATATCTAGGAGGCTTTAAATGGAGTTCAGGGGTCTTCTATGTAGAGTATCATGTCATCTGCAAACAATGATAATTTAAATTCTTCTTTTCCTATCTTTACCCTTTTATTTCTCTCTCTTGTCTAATTGCTCTGGGTAGTATTTCCAGTAGTATATTAAATAGGAGCGGTGATAAGGGACATCCTTGTCTTGTGCCTGATTTAAAGTACAGGTCTTGAGTTTTTGGCCATTTAGTATGATACTCGCTGTTGGTTTGTCATAAATGGCCTTTATTATGTTGAGGTAAAGACCATCTATTCCAATTTTCTGCAAGGTTCTTATCATAAATGAATGTTGTACCTTATCAAAAGCTTTTTCTGCATCTATAGAAATGATGATGTGATTCTTACTTTTGACTCTATTGATATGGTGGATTACTTTTATTGATTTATGTATGTTGAACCATCCCTGCATACCTGGGGTGAATTCCACTTGGTCATGATGTATAATCTTCTTGGTGTATTGCTGCATCCTATTTGCCAATATATTATTGAGGATTTTTGCATCTGTGTTCAGTAGGGAGATTGGTCTATAGTTCCCTTTTTCAGTTGCATCTTTCTCAGGTTTTGGTACTAGAGTAACATTTGATTCTAGCAATGACTTAGGAAAGATTGCTTCCGTTTCCATTTCATTGAAGCATTTGAGGAGTGTCGGCTTTGGGTCTTTTTTGTATTTCTTGTAGAATTCTACAGTGAATCCGTCTGGGTCTTGGCTCTTCTTTGTAGGTAAGGACTTAATTACATTTTTGATTTCATTAATAGAAATTGGGTTATTCAGGAGTTTTACATATTCTTGACCTAGCGTTGGTACTTCATATGTTTCTAGGAATCTGTTTATTTCTTCTGTGTTATCAAACCTTAGAGAGTAGAGGTTTTTGAAATAAGTGTTGATGATCTTCTGTATTTTTATTGGGTCTGTATTAATTTCACCTTTTTCATTCCTTATTGCATGAATTTGAGCTTTTTCTTCCCTTTTAAAAATAAGGTTGTCTAGGGGTTTATCGATTTTATTTATTCTTTCAAAGAACCAAGTCTTTGATTCGTTGATTTTTTAGGATTGTTTTCTTAGTCTCCATTGCATTGATTTCTGCTCTGATTTTTATTATTTCTTCTCTTCTTTTGGCTTTGGGCTTGACATGCTCTTCTTTTTCTAGATGTTTGAGCAGTAACATCAGGTTATGTATTTGTATTTCTCTGTTTTCCTGATGTGTGAACTCAGTGCAATAAATTTTTCTCTGACGACAGCTTTCATTGCATCCCACAGATTCCAGTAAGTTGTATTTGTGTTTTCACTTGTTTGTAGGTATTGTTTAATTTCTTATTTAATTTCTTCTGTGACCCACTGATTACTCCAGAGTGTGTTAGTTTCCATATATTTGTGGGATTTTTGCAGTATCTTTTATCATTAATTTCTAATTTCATAGCGCTATGATCTGATAACACTTAAGGGATAATTTCAACTCTTTTGCATTTATTTAAATATGTTTTGACAGTTAATATATGGTCTATTTTATAGAATAACCCATGTACTGATGAGAAGAATGTCTATTCTGTTGTTGTTGGGCTGAATACTCTATATATGTCTATCAATTCCATTTGTTCACAGGTGTGATTTTATTCTTTTATTTCTTTGCTGATTTTCTGTCTGGTTGATCTGTCCACTGGTGTCAATGGTGTGTTAAAATCTCCAGTTAGAATTTTATTACTGCTAATTTGGTTTTTCATTTCTCTTAGTACTTGTTTTATATAACTGGGTGCTCTGGAATTTGGTGCATGTATATTTTAAGATAGTTATCTCTTCCTCTTGAAGTTTTCCCCTAACCTGTATGTAGTGACCTTCTTTATCTCTTAGGATCATTTTTGGTTTGAAGTTCACATTGTTTGCAAACAGAATAGCTACCCTTTCTTTTTGTGTGTGTGTTCCTGTTGCATGAAGTATTGACTTCCATCCTTTGACTTTCAGTCTGTGAGTACCCTTTTGGTTTAGATGGGTTTCTTGTAGACAGCATATGGTTGGATTTTGTTTCTTCATCCATTCTGCCAGTCTGCTTCTTTTAACTGGTGCATTGAGACCATTTACATTAATGGTTATAACTGTTATATACTGGTTTATTGTTGACATGTATATCTCTGCTGTCGCATCTTTATCTTTCTGTTCTGTTTAATTGTCTGCTTTGTTTAGTGTTTTTTTCCATGTGTATCTAAACTGTCTTTCAGTATTCTTTGCAGGATTGCCTTGGTGATCGTGAAGTTCTTCAACTGTTCTTTGTCATGAAAGTATATTATTTCTCCATCGATTTTCAATGACAGTTTTTCAGGGTACATCAGTCTAGGTTGGAAATCATTTTCCTTTAGGATCTGGAATACTTCACTCCATTCTCTTCTTGCCTTTATTGTTTGTGCTGAGAAGTCTGCTGTGATTCTGACAGGTTTTCCTTTATGGGTGATCTGTCTTTTATCTCTGACAGCTTTTAATATTCTATTCTTTTGTTCAGTTTCTGGATTGGTGATTATTATATGTCTGGGTGTAGTTTTTGTGTTGTTTCCTTCTTTTTCATTTATCCTTATCAATCTTATGTTGTTTTTCTTTGCCTCATCTTGCAGGTGTTGAATTGTTGTTTCTTGATTTCTTGTTATTTTTAAAGATCTTTCTTTCCTATTCACTGGCTGCAATCTTGTCTTCAAGGTCTGAAATTCTATCTCTACATTCATTGAGGCAGTTTTTAGAACTTTCAATGGAATTTTTGATTTCCTGTATATCTCTTTGCATCTGTTTTATATATTCTGTTTGTTTCTTATATTGTTCATCCAGGGATTCTATCTTTTTGTTTAGTTCCTCCAATTTTTTAACTATGTCTTCTTTAGATATGTTCAGCATCTCCTTCATTTGTTTTATCATTTCTTCTTTTACCAGGTAGATTATTTCTAGTTTGAATTCCTTTAAAGCTTTCTGGAGTTTCTTCTTTATTTCGGTTACTATTGTTTCAGTATTTTAGGTATACAGCATGTATTTTCTTCTATGTACCTGGCTCCTAGGCTTTCTTGGGATGGGCTGGATGTTTGAGATTGCATTTTGGTCATTCATTTTGTCATTTTCCTATATTTCCGTGTTTCAAGTGTTGTTCCAGAGTTTCCCCTATGTGTGTTGGAAATTGTCTCTTATGTCCTGGGCTCCTGGGATTTTCTGGTAGTGTAGCTCCATTCTTGGGCAGCAGAGTCCCTGGATTAAAAGAGGGTTGCCAGGCTCCTCTCAGGTAGACCTAAAGCCTCCTCAATCTGCACACTTTCCCCCTCTGGTAGCAAAGCTCCCCTGAGGGAAAGAAGTCCACCTGGTGTGGTCCAGGCAATCCCAAATCCTGCTAAACCCAATCAAATGTGGCTGCAAGCCCAGTGTATCCCCAACACCCTAATGCCAGGATCTCATACTCTCCCAGGGATTAGATGTTGTGTAGTCATCCAGCTCCTTGAATGGCAAAGCTCCCCAGGCTGATAGAGGGTCCTCCTATGGCCTAGGTAGGCCTCAAACCTCCTTAGCAGGGCTGCTCCCTCCTGTAGGCAGTGGCAGTAGTGCTGATGCTCTCCAGGTCAAAAGAAGTTCACAGGCATGCTGGAGCAGAATCCAGTGCTTTGGCCCAATGCCCTCCTTCTGGCTGGAAGCTCTGGTGCACTCCTTGGGTGGGAGAGGTGGTGTGCGGGGCTGGAACGGGGTCCCTCCACTCAGCTGTGCTGTGTCCTTCTGGCCAAACCTATTTTTCCATTCCAATCTAGGAGTCTTTCAATGGAGTTTTGGGGATCTTCTATGTAGAGTATCACGTTGTCTGCAAATAATGATAATTTAACTTCCTTTTTTCCTATGTTTACCCCTTTTATTTCTCTCTCTTGTCTAATTTCTCTGGCTAGTATTTCCAGCACTATGTTGAATAGGAATGGTGAATAGGGACACCCTCATCTTGGGTCTCATTTCAAGGTAAAACCCTTCTGGGTTTGGCCATTTAATATGATGCTGGCTGTTGTTTTGGTGTAGATGGCCTTTATTATATTGAGATAAAACCATCTATTGCAATTTTCTGTAGAGGTCTTATCATGAATGAATGTTGGACCTTATCAAATGCTTTTCCTGTATCTATAGAAATGATCATGTGATTCTTAATTTTGGCTTTATTGATATGGTGGATTATACTTATTGATTTATGTATGTTAAACAATCCCTGCATGCCTGGGATGAATCCCACTTGGTCATGGTGTACAATCTTATTGATGATTTGCTACATACTGTTTGCCAATATTTTATTGAGGATTTCTGCATCTATGTTCATTAGACATATTGGCCTGTAGTTCTCTTTTTTAGTTGGGTATTTCTGAGGTTTTGGTACTAGAGCAATATTTGCTTCCAGGAATGACTTAGTAGAATTGCTTCCCTTTCAGTTCCATTGAAGAGCCTGAGGAGTGTCAACATTATGTCTTCTTTGTATTTCTTGTAGAATTCTGCAGTGAATCCATCTGGGCCTGGACTCTTCTTTGTAGGTAAGGACTTAGTTACATTTTCATTTTCATTAATAGAAATTGGGTTATTCAGCAATTTTACATCTTCTTGACTAAGCTTTGGTATTTCATGTGTTTCTAGGAATCTATTTCTTCTGTGTTATCAAACCTGTGAGAGTAGAGATTTTCAAAATAGATATTGATGTTCATCTGTATTTCCACAGAGTCTGTATTGATTTTGTCTTTTTCACTCCTTAGTGTGTGAAATTGAGGTTTTTCTTTCCTTTTTTAAAATAAAGTTCATTAGGGACTTATCAATTTTATTTATTCTTTGAGAGAACCAACTCCTTTATTAATTGGTTGTTTGGACTTTTTTTTTTTTAGGGTCTATTGTGTTAATTTCTGCTCTCATTTTTATAATTTCTTCCTTGCTTTTGGCTTTTGGCTTGACTTGCTCTTCTTTTTCTAGATGTTTGAGGTGAAGCATCAGGTTGTTTGCATGTATCTGTTCTGTTTTCCTGATGTAGAAACTCAGTGCAATAATTTTTCCTCTGAGGACTGCTTTCATTGCGTCTCACTGATTCTGGTAAGTTGCATTTGTATTTCCCTTTGCTTGTAGGTATTGTTTAATTTCTTCTTTAATTTCCTCTGTGAACCACTAATTTCTGGAGTATATTGTTCAATTCCCATTTGTTTGTGGGGGTTTTGCATTTTCTTTTATCATTATTTACAGTTTCATGGTGCTATGATCTCATAATATGCATGGGACAATTTCAATTCTTTTGCACTTACTTAAATATATTCTGTGGGCTACTATATGGTCTATTTTAGAGAGTGTCCCAGGTACTGCTAAAAAGTTATATTCTAATGTTGTTGGATGGAACACTGTGTATGCGTATATCAATTCCATTTGTAGATTCAGGTCTGTTATTTCTTTGCTGATTTTCTGTTTGATTTGTCCCTTGTCTGGTTGATTTGTCCTTTGGTGTCAATGGTGTGTTAAGGTATCCTATTATAATTGTGTTATTGCTTATTTGAGTTTTCATTTCTATTAATACTTGCTTTGTATGGCTGGATACTCTGGAATTTGGTACATATGTATTTAAGATTGTTATGTTTTCCCATTGAAGTTGCCCTAATTAGTAGATAGTGACCTTCTTTATCTCTTCAGGTCACTCTTCGTTTCAAGTCACATTATCTGTCAAACAGAATGGCAGCCCCTGCTTTGTTTTGGGTTCCAGTTGCAGAAAGTATTGTTGGCCATCCTTTGATTTTCAGTCTACAAATTTCCTTTTGAGTTACATGGGTTTCTTGTAGACAGCATAGAGTTGGATGTTGTTTCTTGATCCATTATGCAACTCTGTTTCTTTTAATTGGTCAACTGAGACCATTTAAATTAATGGTTATAACTGTTTTATATTGGTTTATTGTTGAAATGCTATCTTTCTTCTGTTGCTTCTTTATCTTTCCATTCTGTTTAATTGTCTGCCTTGCTTAATGGTGTTTTCCCATGTGTATCTAGACTGTCTTTTAGTATTCTTCTCAGGGTTGGTTTTGTCTTCATGAAGTTCTTCAGCTGTTCTTTGTCATGCAAGTATCTTATTTCTCCATCCATTTTGTATCTTTTTTTTTGGTCTTTTTCCTTTTTATCGGTACCGGGAATCGAACTCAGGACTGCCTGCTTGCAAGGCAGGCGCTTATGCCACTGAGCTAAATCCCCAGCCCCTCTCCATCCATTTTGAAGAACCATTTTTCAGGGTACATCAGTCTAGGTTGGAAATCATTTTCCTTTAGGATCTGGAATACCTCACTCCATGCTCTTCTTGACTTCATTATTTGTGTTGAGATGTCTGCTGTGATTTTGATAGGTTTTCCTTTGTAAGTGATCTGTCTTTTCTGCCTAACAGCTTTTAACATTGTATTCTTATGTTGGATTTCTGGGATATTGACTATTATATGTTTAGGTGTAGTATTATTTTGGTTATGGCTATGTGGAGCTCTGTATGCTTCACTAATCTAAATGTCAGTTTCCATTCTTATGTTTGTGAAGCTTTCAGCTCTTACTTCTGTAAATAGCCTCTTGATATCACTTGTGTTGCCTCCTTCTTTTTCATTTATCCCTATTAATCTTATGTTGTTTTTCTTTACATTATCTTGCAGCTGCTGAATTGTTATTTCCTGATTCCTTGTTATTTTTAAAAGATTTTTCCTCTCCTGTTCATTAGCTGCAATCTTGCCTTTGAGGTCTGAAATTCTATTTTCGATTTCATTGAGGTGGTTTTGGCAACTTTTAATGGAATTTTTGATTTCCTGTATATCTCTTTGATCTGTTTCATGTATTCCTTTTGTTCCTTATATTGTTCATCCAGGGATTCTTTCATTTGTTTTGTTCCTAATTGCTAAACTATGTCTTCTTTGGAGGTGTTCAGCCTTTCTTTCATTACTTTTATCATTTTTTCTTTTACCTTAAAGATTATTTCTAGTTTGAATTCCTTTAAATCTTACTGGAATTACTTATTTCAGTTGGTATTGTTTCAGGTATTTCAGCTGTATGCCTTCTATTTTCTTCTATTTACGTGGGTCCTAGGCTTTCTTGGGATGGGCTGGAGGTTTAAGATTGCATTTTGGTCTTTTGTCTTGTCACTTTCCTGTATTTCCATCTTTCAAGTGATGTTTCAAAGTTTCCTCTAGGTTTGTTGGAAATTGCCGCCTATGCCCTCAGCTCCTAGGACTGAATGGACCTTTCTTAGTGTGGTTGAGTCAGACCCGCAAGGCCTCCTGTGCCACCTCCGGTCTCCCAGGAAGGTGGAAGGCTCCAAATCACTGTGGTAGGTGATTCAAAGATCTATCCAGGCAAACTTGGATGCCCTGGAACTTACTTCATGTGCCTTCAGCTCCTCTGATTGAAGAAGGCTACTGGGCATAGTTTAGTGGGGCAGCAAAACCTCCCAATCCTATTGTAGTGTGACTGGAAGCTGGGCAAGCACTTAACTGCTGGTAGGGACAATCTTAAACTCTCACTGGGCCTGTGCTCAAGTGCTGGAACTCACCTCAGGCAACCCCAGTTCACTGGATTGAAAAAAGTTCACTGGGCATGGCCCAACCAAGCCAAGAAACCTGCAGAGCCCAGTCTAGTGTGGCTGGAAGCTGGATGGGTCCTTAACCACTGGGTGTGATGATCTTAAACTCCACCAGAGCAAATCTGGTGTGCTGGAATTCCACTCCAGCAGTCCACTTCCTGGGATTAAAAGAAGGTCACTGGGCATGGCCCAGCCTATCTGAGAAACCTACAGAGCCCAGTCCAGTAGGGCTGGAATCTGGGTGGGTCCTTAACCACTGGGAGTGATGATCTTAAACTTTCCTTAGGCTGGTGCTGGCATGCTAGAACTCATCTTTGAGAAGCCCCAGTTCCCAGGATTGAAAGAAGATCACTGGGCATGTCCTAGCCAGGCCACAAAACCTCCAGAGCCCAGTCTAATGTGGATGGAAGTTGGGCATGTTCTTGACCATTGAGAGCAATGATCTTAAATTCTTCAGGGGCCCGAGCTGGTGTGCTGGAACTCACCTCCAGCAGGCCAGTTCCCTGGATTGAAAGAAGGTTGCTCAGTTTTCTCATTTTTTATCAAGAAAAGTTGTGTTCATTTTCAATGTCATTCAGCAGATGAATGATTTAATATCTTAAGCTCTCATACAAGCTAATATTTGGAGGTAGATGAAGTAGAGTTAATGTGCTTTGATATAAAAATAATTTAGGTATTAAAAACAAATTGTTTTGCTTTCATCTTACTTGAATGATAATGCATTTTCATTATAAATTAATACATTGTCCTGTTTTTATATCTTTCCATCTTAGGATCTAATCAGCATGATTTCTTCTGCTGAATTTGGATGAATTATAGTACATGAGCAAGATCAGGTTGTAGACTTTTAGGAATGAAGACCATGACCTGTATCATGCTGAGCCCACCAAACCAAATAATGCTCATGTGATGATCCTGCAACAGCCAACCAGTGGATCACACCAAGTCCTTGCTGTATAATTTAAGATTCCATGAATCCATCAAGTTCCCAATAAATTTCGTCTCATTGCTTTGTTAGATGTACATGACTATTTTCTAATGAATTGACAATTTTAAGTAAAAAATATTAAAATATCCAAAAAACAAATATTACAAAAATTAGTATCAAAATATGATCTTTCAACAAATGACCATCTACTCATTCACTATAGTGTGAATATATAGTTAAAGGTAGAGATAAATAAATTCTTTAAAAAGGAATTAAATTTCTCATATATTTTGTTTAATTTACTTTAATTTTTTAATATTCTCTGTATTCTATTATGACTCTTCATATCAATTTACATCTTAATGATTTAGTTTATGTGTTTTCTTAAAACTTCTTAAAACTTTCTGCTTTTCATCTAAAATGCTCAATTTTAAATGCCCTATTTTAAAACATTTATAGTAATTTCAATGAAAAACTATAACAATGGTAAAACTTATTTGAGTTTTTAATATTTCACATACTTCATGAATTGCTCAGAAGTTAGACATTTATAGTGAAACTGAATACAGATTGTATTAACTGTTTCTCAGAGATGAAAAAAGAACTTTTATCTTGTGAATTATAATAAAAGATAAATATTTTGTAAGCATACAGTGTATCTGAAATGTCATATAATGAACCCAGTATAAACTATGGAATAACTGTGATTTGTTCAAATAAGCAACTAATTAACTAAAGCTGACTTTATAAAATACTTTGCAAAATATATGCATTTGACTCAATCCATTGAATATAGTTGCTGGCCTTAGAATCAAAGTATCAGAGATATCACAAACTAACATATGCCAATCATGTATATTCCAGAGTAAAATTATACATAATTATCATATTGTAATCATTTTATGATCCTGTTATAAAACAATTGAGCCCATCCAAACATCACAAAAATTAATCATAGATTTCTTGTTCCAAATGACATTAGGTGATAACTATTTCTTAGAAATATCAATATTGTAAAGAAGACAAGTCTTCCAAATAACCCAAATATTTAATATAGTTCTTATCAAAAGTCAAGTTACTTTCATTGCAGAAATTTTCAACTGATTTGAAAAGTCATATGGAAATGCAGTACAGAGAGAATAGATAAAATAATCTTCAACTTTACAAAACTGGAGAACTCACATTTCCAAATTTCAAAACTTGTGACTGATGCACAAGGAAAAAAAAATGTGTGGTACCAGCATAACAATAGACATTGGCTACTGAGGTAGAATATAAAACCTAGAAACAAACCTTCACTTGTTATACGCAGTTTTGAGCAGTGAGTACAGACTAATGGGGAAAGAGCATACTATTTCCAAAAATTGTATCTGAATAACTGAATATCCAAATGTTAGACTCCTTCTTCACCTGAAATACAAAGAAGAACTGAAATGTGTATCAAAGACCTAAATATAAGAAGTGTAAAAATCTTAAATTCACTTTGTGAATTTAAGTAAGTCACTGTTTTTCCAAGAAAGGACATTGAAAGCAAAAGTGACAAAAGAAGAAAAATAGACAAAATTTACTTGATAGAAATGTAACATTTTACTTGAAAGGACACCATTAAACAGTGATATACAAAGTTAGAATATCTTTTGAGAGGGTACCAGAAATCAAACTCAGGACCTCACACTTTCCAGACAGATGCTGTGCACTGTATGTGCAATCTGCATGTCCTCAGACTAGAATGTAAAAATATTTTTGCAGGTAATATATCTCATGAAGAACTTGCATATGAACTATATAAAGAATATTTATATCTGAATAATGAAAAGGGAAATAACCCTATTGAAAAATAATCAAACAGTCTAAGTTGATTTCATGATAAAAAGACTTCCAAATTTCAAATACTAAAATATGCTCAAGATCATTTATCATCAGGAAAATGCAAATTGAAAAGACTATTTTGATGTGTATCTCTCAAAACTAAAAAAAAAGGATGTTTATGCTAACACTCATGAAGCCAAACCTGAAAATAATCCAGGTACTCATCAATTAATTAATTGATAAATGGAAAATAAAATGTTTATTTATACTATGTAATATCAATTTGGCCACAAGACTGGAAGAAGTACACATGAAAAAGCCCAGTGCCCTGGAGAGATGGTAAGTCCAGACAGTTGGCTGCTCTATTGAAAAACAATAAATTGTAACTATGCTAGGGCTATAAAAAGCCCATGACCATTGTAAACCATAAAATCCTTTGAGGCTGAGAATGTTGCTCAGTAGTACACTGCCTAAACAGAAAGCATGAGTTTGATTCCTGGTACAAAATTGAAAACCAAAACAGAAACACAAATTTAAAAATCAGTATGAGATGTCACTCAAAGTGACTCCTTCTACATGGCAGAGTGGAACTGAAAAAGAAAGCCAGTGCAATAACCCCCATTCTTTCCCTTATTGGAGAAGGTTTTATCTTAAGTCAATTATGGAAACTGGCAGTTATTTAAAACCAAACTTCAGGGTTGTTTCCAGTGTTGCCTTATCACAGTGGCTGGATGAAAATGTCACAGGAGATGATCATGAAAGGATGTTGTTTAGTCAAAGGCCATATAAGAATTTTAAAATCAAGCCTGAATAGAAAAATTTCTTCACACATGTGAGAAGCCAAGCTCAGCACATGTGACTTTTAGATGGGACAATCTGATTGTTTTGGTAAAGCATCCACCAACTTGAATTCCTGTTCTGATGACTATATCCAACATAGAGACTTGTGATCTGATTGATTTGCCCATCATCCAAAGTGAGCAAGAACATACCTCAGCCTTAAGCATTGCCAAAGCTTGTGATACAAAGACAAAAGGGGACAGGAATTGAGGGACAATCACAAAACTTACATACTGTAAATCTAAGCAGAAAAAAACAGAACTTGATGGATTCTAAGGCTGCAGATTTTGGACAGATACTTACAGAATTTCCAAGAAATTGGAGTAACAGGATTGCATGATCCAGTCACTAGCAATGCTCAAAACTAGCAGTGCTTTTATACAATTTATGACACCAAGCAAATACAGATACAGAAGCAAAACAAAGCCTGTTAGTCATCCTAGCAGCTATCCTTATCCTAGTCTTGACAAGAAAACACATCCTATATATCTCAGGATGTTAGAATGTTGTTCATAGCTCCATTTGTTAGTTTTATTGTTATTGGTACAGTGTTGCCCCTCTAATGTAGGAAATACCCATGATACATCTGCTGAAAGAGCTTGCCTTATCAGTGAGCAAATCACTGGACCATGGAGACAAAAAACAAGTCTTGTTCTTGAGGGAGTGGTTGCCTGAGGGGCTGCTAGCCTGTCTCTTGAAATATTTTACAGAGGGAGAGAAAGGCTAAGTTTCTTTCTGAGTTCTGCTTTATTTTTCCCTTTGATGGTCTCTATAAGTGAGAGCACCATTCAACATCTTACATTATTTCCCAGAGGGGCAGTTCTCCATCAGGCAAATGCTGCTATCTAATAAGGGGCATCATCTGGGATGTGGTGTACCTTTATACTAGAGTTTCTATAGCTATTTTGATGTCTTTAACAAGTATTGATGGGAAACAGGGAAAATGAGACATACTCCTAAGATAACTAGGACCATCCCTATTGAGTTTTGAACTCTCCAAAAGTTGAGAACCACACTCCCCACAAAGTGTCTGGAGGTCATCCTTGCCACTTTTGGACTGGGACATTACATAGTTTTTCAGATTCAGGCAATGATGTCTTCAGTTACCTTAGCATTGTTACCAATTTCCAGACACTTGGTTACACTGAACTTCCCACATACTCCACCCTCCTTGGCAAGGAGGTAGCCTAAAGCCATCCTACTTTGGTAAATTGCATATCTCATTTGCATTTCAGACCTTTGCAGTATCATTGCTGATGAGCTAAAGTGCTGTTTGTAACCTTATGATGTGGTTGAGCATACAGGTAGGGGTGCAATATCCCCATATACCATCTTGTATGGTTTTGAGAGACTATAGTTCTGTTTAAAAGGCCATCACTATCATTCTCTTTTTCTCCAGCATAGACTTCAAACCAGGTATTGTAAGGTGGGGTAGAGAGACTTCAAGTCATAATAACCATAGAATTTGTTATCCCCTAGGTCTCCTACCGAGTAGGCTATCTGATTGTGAAAGCAAGGTACTCTGTGTATCCCTGTACACTCATAATAGATATGATATAGCAGAGTCCTTCATATAATGCTTTCCAACCACATGATGAAAATGTAATAACAGCATTCCTCCAAGGACTTTCCCTTAGACAAAAGCAAAAAGAGAATTATGTCAGAAAGGAAAAGAGACCTAAGTGTTTGTTGTAACACCATGATGATCCTCAAGCTTCTGCTGTGTGTTGACTGGTCAGCCTCTAGAGTGACCACAGCAGAGCTGTCTATCCTCAAGCTTCTGCCATGAATAGATTAGTCAGCTACGCATGTGAGTGCAGCAGAATTCTTACCATTGGCAACAGCTTGGTCTCTGCAGAATCAGTAGGTTTGGGTGGTCTGGATTCTATTGGCTGGTCCACATGTCTTGGGCTACTGGCCTCATCTAGCAGTGGTAGTCCTAAGCATAGCTCCTACAACTTCAGTAACAGTGGACAAGATTGGAATGTGGATCCCATCCCATATGGAACCTAGGGCAATAGAATTCCATATTTTGACCCAACTAGAGCCTCTGAGTTTAAATGGGTTAGTTGGGTCTGCTAAACTTACAGAAATTCTTTCTTATATGCAGCTGTGGATAACTTGCATGGCTATTTTGAAAGCCCACTTCTGTCTCCTTCGAGTTAATTCTCCTAGTTCATGAAGATCACCTTTAATTTGAATTATAATTGGAGGTAACCAGGTGAACAAGATTTCAAAAGGGTAATGCCCCATTTGTTTACTACAGTGCACCAGACATGGAAGAGGGCCGTGGGCAGGACTTGATTCCATCTCAAGTACATTTCTTGGCAATAATTTTCCAGCAATTATTTTAGCATGCAGTTTATAAGCTACATTTTCAGAGCTCTGAGGCTGGTAGGCTCTGTGAAATTTTCCATTTTAACATTCACATGAGCTCCCAAA